TGACCTTGAAAGTGGGTCAAGGTCATTCATTTGAACAAACTTGGTAGCCCTTCATCCCAGCATGCTACAGGCCCAATATCAGTACCCTGGGCCTTTTGGTTATTGAGAAGAAGTTGTTTGAAGATTTTAACATATTTGACCCCTGTGACCTTGAAAGTGGGTCAAGGTCATTTATTTCAACAAACTTGGTAGCCCTTGAACCCAGCATGCTACTGGCCAAATATCATCTTCCTAGACCTTTTGGTTATTGAGAAGAAGTTGTTTAAAGCAAAAAGTTGACGCCGGACAGACGGACGACGGACGACGGACGACAGATGACGGACGACGGACGGACAGACGGACGACTGATGCCGCACCATAACATAAGCTCACTTGCCCTTCGGGCAGGTAAGCTAAAAATGATTAAACAAAAGTTGAAAATGTTCATTTCACAAGCTAAATTGGAGTTATCTCCCCTGCACTGTTTAATTGGATTGTTATGACAGAATATATGTAATGTTTGTAAATAAGTTTGGAAAGGACTTACATAGGCCTAGCCTGATGTCCAATCCAATTGACATATATAAAGTCAATAAAATCTGATGAAATGATGAAATGAAATAACTTCGCTTGTGATAGAGTCTGGTAGGTCATTTATATAGATTAGAAAAAAGGCAGGGCCCCATGACTAAGCCTTGGGGAACTCCAGAGAGGACAGGACAGGACGAAGATATGGTGTTACTTACAGCAACTTTCTGACTACAGTCAAGGAGAAAATTTGGACCCAAGCAATGATTTTGCTGTGGATGCCGAAACGAGTGCGGGCATGGTCGACTTTGTCGAATGCCTTCGAAAAATCCATAACGGCTACATCTGTTTGATGCTAGATTATTATAGATGTCTGAGGTAAAAGCAAGAAGTTGTGTTTCGCAGCTACGTTTGGAGCGAAAACCATGCTGGAGAGGGCTGAGAAGATTATAGTTGTCGGCGTGAGTCATAATGCTTCTGTTCCATCAATTTACAGAGAATGCACTGGTTAGCGAGATTGGACGGTAATTTTGCGGTTGTTTTTTTGATCCCTTTTTAAATACAATGGCAGTTTTCCAGTCTGAGGGAACTACACCGCTTGATAGGGAACAGCTAGTTAAAGAGATCTGTGATAATTGGAGTTATTTCAACATAGACATTTTTAAGGAAATTTGGAGAAATTTTATCAGGGCCTGTGGCTTTCTTGGGGTCCAGGTTTTTAAGAAATTTAGAAACACCAGGAATTTTGATATTGATGTCTGACATGTAGTTTGAAGGCTTTCGTGAGGAATAGAGGTCAAGTTCACAGAGATGAGATAGTTTGAGTGGGACTGGGTTGGTAAAGACAGAGTGGAAGTAACTGTTTAGTGTTTCTGCTTGGGATTTTGGGTCAGAGTATGTTATGCCATCGACCTTGAGTGGTGATACCCCAAAATTGTTGTAAATACGCCTGAATGACGTCACGCAGCAACATTTGTGACTTCATCAGGCCTTCCGTGGTTTTGCTCAAAGTTGCAGGCAGTTTTGCCACCTTCAAACATTTCATTAATTTGCAAATAATGTAAGAGTTTAAAAGTAAAATTTTGTATGTTTACGTTACACAAGTCGTACTGATACGAACAGCTTCAAATGTGTGTGTAACAATGATTAATATTAAATAAATGTCTTTTCTTAGCTGTGATAGTTAATTTTCGATAACTTGAAGAAACTAGTTAATGCTGTTTGAGTAAGATGGCTGATCGGCTGAGATGAGGTCAATTCCCATGCATCGCAACATCGCAATAAAGACTCAATCCTGAACAAATCGAAACTTCCAAATTGGTGCCCAAAATTCAGTTTCAGTTGAGTCCGCCGGGATGAGAGGCTCCAGGGCTTTCATAAGATGGGGGATGGACCCCCCCTCCAACTTTTGGATAGTTTGTCACATGTAGAATCTATATCTCCGATCGTGAACGGACAAATTAAAACGATTTTTTGGTTTTGAAAACTCATTCAATAGAGACTGCTCCAGGTGTTGTAAATACGTACTTTCTTTTTCATGTAAAAATCAGTCTTTGATAATTGTCGGTCTCTTGACGTAATCATCAGCAAATTCTTTTCAAATATCAATCTAGCAAATTTTTAAATGGTATTTTAATTAAAGTGTTGTAAGATGGCTGAATGTGTTAGACGCAAAAATATTTTATGAAATATACTGGTTGATTGTTTTCTAAATACATATTGCATGCAAGTACATAATACAGTGTATGTACCAAATTACGCTGACTTGTAGAAAAACAATTTACTTGCATTGACGGTGCAGTCAAACATGAAACTGCATTGAGATATGGGTATTTTCAATTTGTATGTAATACATTTACACTAAAGAACAACCAACAGGCTTTAGATTAATGAGCTTAGTTGACGAGATGTCCGTCGCACAGACCAAATTTTTATGATTCGTTGCATTACAAGATATTTCATAACTGTTTTGATTATTAAAATAACTTTTCCCTTCTTATACCTCTTCTTTTCAAAATGTTTGAAGGCTTTAACTATGTTGAAGATTATGGTGACGTTATTTACGTCACATCTTATGTATTATGACGTCATATGGCATTTTTGTCATAGGGTGGCAAATTTGGATGCATGGCGAATTTGCCTGCATTAACGTTACAACCCCAGCGATGGGTAGGCATTTCATACTAATGCAATAATTACTATTGCCGATGTTTGGGATATTTGAGGTAACTTTACTTACGGCAGATGAAGATTTTTGTTTACCTTTGCAACTATAATGGGCGTGATGCATTATGGGATACTCCCTAAAGCAGACGATATGACCCAAGAAGGAAAACTAACTTCTAAGCTACATAACTAATCATAGTCAAGAATGATTATATACTGTTTATAGTGAAGCTGATTGTAATTCACGATATAAGGGAAGCAACTCGAGCTAAAGATAAGTTACTAATCCCGAGATTTCAGTCTACCAGATTTCACCCAAAATACCGTCAATAGTGTTTACATAGCGGTAATGATTATCACATTACATTGTAAATAATACTATCCATTCTTCACTATTAAATGAACTAAGTATTTGCATTCAAGTGTTTGTCAACATCTTTCAACTTCCTGGACAGGAGCGAACCTGAATTTTCTCCCATAAAGTGCTTGTTCACCACAACATATTGGCCAGAAATACGGCGACGGGATGGAAAACATTCCAGTGGGTGTTGATTATGATTCCTTACTTCTCAAATAGCAAGTCATACTTCATAAGGATACCCAAAAAAAGGATCAGTGTAAATCATTATTATCACATGTAAGGGATATTGTTTCTCCCTTAACTCCAAAAACACAAAACATGTGGAGATATGGAGGGAATGGGTGACCTTGCGGTAATGAAACTCACGATTTTGATAAAACACCTTAAGACCTTTTACGGATGCATTAAGCACTGTGAATGATGACTGACAAATTTCCAGTAGTTAAAGTTGGCATTCATCTTTCCCCTTAATGTGTTTGAGTGTCTGCACATCAGCATTTATCAAAACTCAAAATTACTTACCTTCAAGTGCATTTTGTTGAGTCTTGTTATTACTAGAATCTGACGGGGAAAAAAAACACAAATTAAATATTTACCAGATAACTGTTATTACATTTTTAGGATTCATTTATTAAGCACAGGTACTTTCTTCGAGTTGTTAAAGTGAAATTGACAAAAAGAAATCTCCATATTCTTATACCATGTATGATAAATTCTTTAGTGATGATGAATGCCTATGCCTGAAGTTGAATGCCTAGAGATGTGGAAAAGTTGTTGTTATTATTATAAGGTTAGTAAATAAAATCTTCAATAGTAATTATATACACCAAATAATTGAACTAGATCTGTATACATATTTACAGTACCAGAGGATAATTCCTACAAATACAGAAAGCCAGTACCCTGAAGGTTTCCTGGCCCACGAATATTGCCAACAGAATTCTTAGCGTTTTGCTACATACCAACAGCAATACCAGGCAGTTCGCTATTATCTCCAATACTGAATGGCCATCCTCCTCTGTATTTAGATCCATCTCCTGTGTCTATTTGAAATTCACATATGAATACATAATCCTAACCAGTAATTTCTATCGGGTATAATTGTACAAGTGTATATGACAATGCCATATGATATAAAGTTCATAAAAGTATAAGTATACAATAGCTGCAGGTATCTGTCAGAAAATAAACCTCTTTTATTATAACCCAGCTTTGAAAAAGTCAGAGCATATCTTAGCTGCTATTTCATGAATGGGCATCAAACACATGTACATGGAAAGGCATTATGCCACATTCTAAACACAAGTGCCCTCAATTTCACCTTTGACCTGTACTTAAAGTTATGAAATAATAGTTTCCTGAGCATATCTCAGCAACTGTTTCATGAATGGATAGCAAACTTTGTACATAGGTACATCGTCCCAAACCAAAGTCACTGTAACTTTAATTTGAACTTGACCTTGACCTAAAGTGCTCAAAATAATGGTTTCTAGAGCATAGCTCTGCTGTTATTTCATGAATTGGCATCAAATGTTGTGTATAGGTACATCCTGGTTAGGTGGTATGTTGTATCCTAAATAGCGTTACTGTAACCTCAATTTGACCTTTTACATTGACCACAAATAATAAATTATGATAATAACTTCAGTTTCTTATATACTGCTTTATCACGACCTAGGTCGTAGGTCGTCTCAAAGTGGTTTACAGATTTTTACCTGATTGTCTTGGAGATCTTGTGGAGGTTTCTTTTTTTTGCTTTGGTTCAGTGTAGTTGTTTGTGATAACCTTATTGTTATAAACCAAACTGCTTTACCTCCACATTATCTATCACTTGTATTCGAGGACCTTTAAAACAATATAAAGATCTATTAAACAATAAAAACAATAAATGGCATGAAACCTTTATAGAAGAACAATGTTATCTATCAGTTATGAAGTGAATCATGAATTAGTCCTATCTTCACGCAGCTGTTGACCAGTCTTATAAAAGCGACTTTCCTTAAAGACCCTTGCGTGATTGGTTCATTCACTGGCCTCTGGTTCAGGAAACAGTCTTATGAGATAATATTGTTTTATCAATTGATGTCACAACAATAATTAATATAATTTGACCTTTTGCGCCCTTGTTGCGACTTTGATGGTAAAGTATGAACCATGCACAGTGATATGAAAACAAGAGGCCCAGGGGCCTTAATAGCTCACCTGGTATTTTATTTTCAATTTAAAACCCGAGAGTGAGCTGAGTACCATACCAGTTTATCAAAGGAGCGCAATAAATACAAGTTGCAAGAAGGACTAAATCTGTTTGGACCAATCTTAAGGCAAACTAATTAAAGAACTAATAAACCAGCATGAATAAAAGCAGTAAAATGAAAACTGAGAACAGAGTAATTTCTTTATAGGAGCATGAACTGTTATTAGCTAAAAAGAAACATACGATGGAAGCAGCACAAACAACCTGAATCAAATTCCATTGTATTTTTGTGTTTTATGATTTATTTTATGATAACTTAATATAAATCAGTATGATAGTTATTGTAGAAGTTTAGGACAAACCGTCGCAATAAAAAATAAAAATACTACCCTATAATTAATGTAGTGGAAAGTGCTGATGGATGTATGGACCTCAGTAGCTAACGCAGTAATGGTAATACACTACTGCAGGATATACAGGCTAGCTAGGGAAACAAATGTGTACGCGAGCTGTTTGCATCACATAAACACAAGTGAATAGCTGAAAACTGGTGGATGAATTGTTAAACTTCCAGATAGAAACTTAAATGCAAGTTGTAGTTGGATCACAAGTACTCCCCATTCTCCAGTAATAAAAGTTTATCAGATATGTACAAAGCTGCTACTTGGACAATAGAGTATCTATAGCGAACAGTTCTCGAGGATTTTTCTCAGAAGGAGGGGGTATCTGAGAGATGAAAATAAAAAATCTTGATGTATCAAATAAGGGGTTGATACTTTTGTCTTCACCTGATGTGTTAATTATTACTGCACACTTGAAAGAACCTGGTTATACAGAGGATATATATTCAATGGGTGTTGATTATGATTCCTTACTTCTCAAATAATATTCAGGCTTCAGGGTGCAAGTCATACATATGTACTTCATAAGGATACCACATAAAAAGGATCAGTGTAAATCATTATTATCACATGTAAGGGATATTGTTTCTCCCTTAACTCCATAACACAAAACATGTGGTGATATGGAGGGAATGGGTGACCTTGCGGTAATGAAACTCACAATTTTGATAAAACACCTTAAGACCTTTCCATCAATGTAAAGTATTTGATTTGAACATATCTAAATCTGAAGAAGAAGCCAATTTGACCCCTTTTACGGATGCATGAAGCACTGTGAATGATGACTGACAAACGACGATCACAATCGGTCAACCTATACCATTGTCTCAGGTGACCTAAACAATACCGTTCTCCAGTTGATGTTCATTATACCTCCGATTGTTCTCTAGTTGGCATTCACATCACCCCTGAACATATCACCTCTGAATATCAAATTTCCAGTAGTTAGCATTTATATCACCCATGAATATCAAATTTCCAGTAGTTAGCATTCAGTGCCAGATGATATTTCTCCGAAATACACCAACATATACCTTGTCTCCAGCGCACACACATAAGCACGCATACACAACACACATGGAGGCAGGTCCTAAAATGACCGTAGCTGTTAATAGAATGTTAAACAAATTAAAACCAAACAAACGCAAATCTGCCTTGAATGTCTCGCCTTGTTTGGCAGTAATGGCTTACTTCTCAGCGTGGGACGTTTGATCCTCTGGGAAATGCTGCACATTTTGGTCTGTATCTTTGGCATAACAAGCAAATTCGTGGAATTTATATCCCCCGCTTTCAGGACATATTGTAGGTAAACATTATTGAGGTTAGGTTTAAACATGTGAGTATTGTGCTGTTGAGACATAATGTATAGGCTGAAACTCGCAGAAAAAAAGCCTTATCTAATATTTGCTAGAGTTATTAAGCTGAACTGCAGATAATGTCTCTGCGAAATGGAGTCCAATTAAAGTGGTTGTCAAACTTGGCCGAGCTCTCAATGCGTTGGACCCTGTTACTAAGTTTGAAGACAATCGGATACTATTTGCAAAAGTTAATGAACAGAAACAGCAGATAATGCATTTTTGGTTATTGAAGGGGCCATAACGCGGCCAAATAAAGTCCTCTGAATTTAAATCGGTCATCGAACTTGACTGAGCCCTTAAGGCATTTAACCCTGTTACCAAGTTTGAAGAAAATCGGTTAACATTGATGTAGTTATTGCACAGAAACGGCAGATAATGACGTTTTTGGTCATTAAAGGGGCCATGACTCCGCCAAATAAAGTCCGCTGAAAGTGATCATCAAACTTTGCCGAGCCTTTAAGGCATTTATCAATGTCACTAAGTTTGAAGAAAATCGGTTAACATTTGTTGCAGTTATTGCACAGAAACGGCAGATAATGTTTTTCATTATTCAAGGAGCCATAACTCCGCCAAATGGGGTCCTCTGAAAGTGGTCATCAAACTTTGCCTAGCCCTTAAGGCATTTAACCCTGTGACCAAGTTTGAAGAAAACCGATAAATATTTGTTGTAGTTATTGGACAGAAAAGAAATGCAGCAGATAATGACGCTTTTCATTATTCAAGGGGACATACCTCCGTCAAATAAAGTCCTCTCAAAGTGGTAATCAAATTTCGCCGAGCCCTGAAGGCATTTGACTCCTAGACCAAGTTTGAAGAAAACTGGTTAATATTTGTTGTTGTTATTGCACGGAAAGGAAACACAGCAGATAATGACGTTTTTCATTATTCAAGGGGCCATAACTCCGCCAAATGGGGTCCACTGAAAGTGGTCATCGAACTTGGCAGAGCCCTCAAGGCATTTAACCCTGTGACCAAGTTTGAAGAAAATCGTTTAATATGTGTTGTAGTTATTGCTCAGAAAAGAAGCGTGACAGACAGACAGACAGACAGACAGACAGACGGACAAACCCAAATTAATATCTCCCGTTTTGGCGAAAGCGGGGGATAACAAAGAAGACCATCTCGGCACATTTTACTTCTCCGTCCTCCCATTGCAGTGACTATGAAGGTTATACTAAATCTTGTTTCATAAAATTCTTCTTATTGAAATGTTTCTGATAAGCATTGCCCGCTTTCACCAATCTGAAATAAAAGTTAACAAGCAAATTTGTGGAATTTTATCCCCTGCTTTCAGGACATATTGTAGGTAAACATTATTTAGGTTAGGTTTTAACATGTGAGTATCGTGCTGTTAAGACATAATTAAATGCGAAATGGAGTCCAATTAAAGTGGTTGTCAAACTTGGCCGAGCCCTCAATGCGTTGAACCCTGTTACTAAGTTTGAAGACAATTGGTTAATATTTGCAAGAGTAAATGAACCTAAACAGCAGATAATGCATTTTTGGTTATTTAAGGGGCCATAACGCTGCCAAAGAATGTCCTATGAAATCAGTCATCGAACTTGGCCGAGCCATTAAGGCATTTGTTGTAGTTATTGCATGGAAATGAAGCGCGGCAGATAATGACGTTTTTCATTATTCAATGGGACAAAACTCCGCCAAATGGGGTCTTCTGAAAGTGGTAATCGAACTTGGCCGAACCCTTAAGGCATTTAACCCTATGATAAAGTGTGAAGAAAATTAGTTAACATTTGTTGTTGTTATTGCACGGAAACGAAGCATGACAGACAGACAGACAAGTTTGTTTACCAAATTTAATATCCCCCGTTTCAGTGAAAGCGGGGGATAACAATGAAAATTGCTTTTGAGTCTACCAGTATATATGTAGATGATGTAACATGGTTTTTTTTGTTTTAGCTAATTATGATGAACATATAAACATGAAAGAGGGGGGGGGGGGAACAGACGATCTTGCTGCTATATACTGGTAACTATGCAAGATTTTATATTTTCGATGCCACCAAGGGGCGAGCACGGGCACCGTGTGCACTTTCCCTGAATCCGCCACTGGGTTCACCTTCATCAGCTCTTATGAATGGACAATTCTGATTGTATATCCTTACACTTTTTTTATTTGTGAAACAAGGTTTTACAGTGAAATTGAATTTTTTTTTTTTTTTCTACTGTGAAAACCGTTTTTGTTTAATATATTTATCCAAAGTAGCTTAGCTGATAGCAGGTTTAGTAAGAAATACAAGAGGCCCATATGGCCTGTATCGCTCACCTGGATATCTAAGCAATCATGGCAGAATATTCTCCAAATGAGATCCATGGGAATATGCCAGACCCCAAGGCCAATCCTTGTAGCATATATATCTGTATTCGATTTTTCATG